CAACTGCTAGCTCACGGTCTAACCTACTTCAAGAGAATAAAATAACAGTGGAATCTCATGCCATTCTAAGCTCCCTGGAGAAGGATAGAATTAAAATTCTTGTGTATATATAACAAAGATAAAAATACCAATTTATTTTAACAAGCAAGTTAAATGCTCTTCTCTGGTGAAATCAATAAGATTTAAAAGTGCTTTCCTATGATCAGATTGAAGCTTACCTTTATTTTTAATTAAACTTCTTGTGTGCTGAGCTACTTATACTTTGATGGGGGTGTTTTCTGTTGTTTTATATTGATGTGTAGTGAATCCATTGCCAAAGACCCAGCTCCAAGTCCACAGCAGGAATGATCTAATTATCTCCCTCCCTGCCTGGCCCCAGCCTGATTACTGTCTGTCCATATTTATTCACTTCCTGTCAATCATCTTCCCTGTTTCTTGCAGCCTCTGCCCACCACAGGCAGCTCCCATGGAGGGATGAATCACAACCTGTCAGGGGGGGTCCGGCGGTTGCGCCGTGAGCTTCAGGGGGCACCATATGAGGCTGTGGAGACCGCCTTGGCCAATGAAGTGTATTACCCGGAACTGGTTCAGCTGGCTGCCCTTGAAAGGGCCCTGTCGACTCCAGGTAACCAGCTACAAGATGATCACTTTGCCCAGGCCTTGGAACGAGCGTTGGCTTCTTCCGGGAACCAGCTGGCTGATGAGCGAATGGCCCAGGCCCTTGAAAGAGCAGTGTCCCCACCTAGCAACCAGTTCCAGCCAGACAAGCACCTGGCACGTGCTTTGCAGCGCCTCCTTCAGGATGGGCATCGCCGAGACCAGGAATCTGTCTACCTGGCAAATCTGCTGAGGCTGTGGGATGAAGCCAAGGGGGCAACCTTGTACCCTGAATATGATGAGACTGGCTTGGCAGGTGGCTCCTCTCCACCCAGAGCGCTGCCGAATCGTTATTGGGCCCCCGAAGGAGGATTCGAACCCCAAGAAGAGCTGGGCGCAGAGGAGGAAGCTGCTGGAGAGGTGGACCCCGAGATGCTGAGGTAGCCAGAGATGAAAAAAAAATCAGGGTTTGCTTTGAATAAGGATTTAACTCTCAAATGTTCAGATTGCGGCCATTGAGCTGTAGAACATAGAGTGGGATGTGCCTCTGGGCCTGTGTCAATTCATTTATCGCTGTTGAGTAAAATCAGGCCACTCTTGTACCTTAATTGAATCAAACTTTTTAAAAGAAAACAAAATGATTGTTTGATAATCTTTCAGGGAGTAGTTCACAAAGGAAGCATAAATAACACGAAAGAGGAATTTTTCAGATTTGCAGCTCCTCCTCCTGCACTGAGAACCATCCACACTCTGGAATAAATGTTTAAGAGAGGGAGTTGCTGCAGAGGGAAGAAAGGAGCACTATTGTAATTCTTCTCACGCCCTGCATTCTTTGAACATTTTCCTGATAATAATAATAATTATAATCATTATTTCATCAATAGAAAGGTACTTTGAACCAATAGGATATATTTGTTTGTTTGTTTGTTTGTTTATTAAACATTTATACAGCTGCCCAACTCATGCCCAGTGACTCCGGACAGCATACAACATTAAAAAATTAGATTCATTCAGTTATGATTGCATTCAGGTTTATTATTTTTTGCTTAGACCTGTGACATTTTGCTTTTGACAGCTAAATCTCCTGTCTGGGTTAGTTTAGGAAGCCTTTGTCCCATGATTTTCTATGCAGCAAAAGATTCTGTGAGACCTCCTGGGGCAAAAAGATGGCAAGAGCTGCAATTAAGGCACAAGCCATGTTTTGTGAGAGCTGGTCCAATACAACTGGTCTTCTTGTGCTTTTGGAGCTCCCTAAGTTGGAAAAGACTACACATGAGAAGTGTAACAATCTCTCCACAGAAAAGTCAGGCTTGGGCAGTGGGTTCATGGGTCAAACTGACTGTAGGAACTGCAGGGAGCAGCCCCTCTCAATTTCAGCTGACAATAAAGGTATCACTGAAAAGCTGGCCAGTTTGGCCCTTTGCACACATTCAGACATTTCCACCCATGCTGGTCCTCTCCATTATTAAGCTCCAGCTACATTGCAGATAACCACACAATACTAATGCAGAGATGCCTCTTCACTGATGTCACCAGTGTGATTTGGAGAAGGGAAGGCTTGGTGCCCAGCGATCCCATGTTCAGTTCTCTGTCTAAATGCATCAGCTTAACAGGGAAAGGATCTACGCCCCCAATCCTCAATGTACATATAGATTTTCCTAGATTCTGTTCTTGGGAAGGGAAGAGTTGGGACCTGTGTCTTCTTTTACATGGGGAATTGTAACAGCTTTTGAAATGGAGGTGGGAAACCTTCTAATGCGTTAAGAGTTTTGCTTGGCTCAGAATGAAGTGTGAACGTGGCTGTTGTAGTTTGTAAGCCATGGTTTAAGAATATGCAGGAGCCCAGCCATCATAGCCCTTTTAATAAAAGCCATGTTTAATAAATCATAGCTTAGCATGAACTGAGTCTGCAAATCAATACCTGAGTCTGTTTCCTGCAAAAGGTGCTTGCAGATTAAAATGGTGGCGTGGTAAGTGGAGTGGTAAGCCCCCAATTCTATCTTTCTCTGTCCTTTTCAGGTATCTGATTGGCAGGATCCTGTCAGGAGCAAGCAACCTGCCTTCACAGCGCCTCCCACTGGCTCCCCGACGCCTGCGTCGTGCCATTTTTGATGGAGGAGACCTCCCCGAACCCCCCAATCTTCTGCGGGTCAAGCGTCTTGGTGGGGAGAGTGGGGACGAGCTGCAGCGAGTCAAGCGGACAGAAGGAGAAGGGGTGGGTGGGAGACGGAGTATGAGTGGGGGCACCCAGAGGCTTCGGTATCTCTCTGAATAATGAGAATTGGTTTCTGTGAAAAGAAACACTGGGGAGCCCCTCCCTTTGAATGTCAATGGACTGTGAGTGACACCTCGTGTTCTTTCCTGCCTCTGTCCTACCTGTGACCCCAAAATACTGGGAAAGAAGGGGGATAACCTTGGACTGGGATCCCCAAATCCCAATTATGTTCTATAAAGTGTGTGCAGGGGACGGCCGCTTTTCTCTTCACTGACCTTCTCAGTGCCCTGATGGAAAGGTCTTTTCAGCTAAGGAGATGGTTTTTCACTGATGGCTAGTTCCTACTTCCCTCCAAAGCCAGAGCTAGGTATCACCATCCTCATCCTTCTCACATCTTGGCTTTTTTTAAAAAAAATTGTGGCTTAAACAAATCTCCAACTCCCCCCACCCAACTTCCAACTGCCTTAATATTCCTCCTTCATTGATGCTGCCTCTCACCCCTCCCTTCCTATTTCCACCTGCTTGTTTCTGTCTGGTTTGTAAGACCCCTTGTGTTCAAACCTCGTTGGCCTACATAAACACCAACGCTGCCCTTGCTGATTTGTTGCCATGTTCAATCATGCTTGTGGCCAGAGTTTTAATGTTGATTAATTACTGAATAAAAAGTCCCACCAGGTATTTTATTGTAGTAGTAGTCTTGTGTTGTCCTGTGGAAATTTTTGGGAAACCTTGGCTGTGGCCCTCAGAACTCCTCCAGAATTTGCCATGAAATTTATAGAATGATGATGACATACATGGGGAGGCATCATATTCCTTATATTTAGTTAATTAACCTTCACATGTTTTAGTTTCAGCTGGCTCCCATCTTTCTACTCTAAAGGTCAAGGGTAACTAAGTTTGAAAGAAGTTGGGCATCCAGGCTGGGTGAAGATAGACCATTATCTTTAGCTCCATTTGGGGTCCTAAATCCATCAGTATTAGAAATAAGTTGATTGAACCAGACAGTAAATCTAATCAAATCATCAACCTAAAAGTTACTTTCATATTTTAAGTTTTCCAGACACTACTGTTTATTGGGTTCTTCAATGAAGAAAAGCCACAGAAGAAAACAAAAATCCTTACACTAGAACCTGACGCTAAATCTAGGAAGACTTAGAGGGTACTATTAGAAGAAAGAGGTTGGTGCTGTATGAACAGTCTACCTCTGGGCTTTCAAAAGTCAAGAATCTTCAAAAACAATGATTTCCATGTCAAACTATATTGGTATTCTACTAGTAGATACTTGCCTTAAGCAAACAAGAAGTTCTGACAAGAGAAGTGATGATCAATCCACAGGGCACCACGAGTTTTATCTTTGTAAGCCTCTGGGAGTCCCTGAGAGTGAGTTGGGCAGCCATATACATAAAGAGAACTTTGTTCTCTTCCAGATGTCATATTGAATGAGGAGTTCAATACAATTTGAAAATCACAGAGTCTTCTCCTGGAGGGACACACTTTCTCAATTCTTTTTATGTCATAGAAGACTCTGACAACAAACAATTTCAGGAATTGGATACTTTTGGGGAACTAGGTCTTTTTTCATTTTCAACTGTATTTTCCGCCAAAGGCCTCAGGGAGTATGGCAGTCTTGCTAGACCTGAAACACACTTTCCTTTGTTTCATTTTGGAGCGGGGGGGGGGGGAACTTGGAGATTATTTTAAATACTAAAGTTTAAACTGGCTAACTTAGAGCCGAGGTGGTGCAGTGGTTAGAGTGCAGTACTGCAGGCTACTTCAGCTGACTGCTAGCTGTAGTTCAGCAGTTCAAATCTCACAAGCTCAAGGTTGACTCAGCCTTCCATCCTTCCGAGGTGGGTAAAATGAGGGCCCAGATTGTTGGGGGCAATATGCTGACTGTGTAAACTGCTTAGAGAGGGCTGTAAAAGCACTATGAAGCGGTATATACTGTAAGTCTAAGTGCTATTGCTATTACTAATGTCTTTACCTCCTGTCATTTCCTGCTGAACATCATTTGGAAATCACCCAACTTGCTGGCAAATTTTGACTGTGTTTACATTTTTGACATATAAAAATCTAGAATTAGGAGGCTATATATTGTCTGTGAGCCTTTTGCTGTCCAGCCCTGAATGAGAGAAAAGGATTATGCAAACAATTTCAAAAAGTCATGAAAGATACTGAGGAGACACCATAACATTAGCGTTTTCTAAAATTTATTGCAACGGGTACAGCAAAACCATGACATATCCAACTCTGAAGAATATTTGCTGGTTGGGATCAATCTGGAGTCAGCGCTGAAGTCACACCTAAGCACATACCACAAGCAGAAAAGGAGAAAATGATAAGATACTTTCTGAAATCTGTGATGCCCCAGGCATTTTGGGGCTTTGAAGCAAAGTCTAGCTTCTCTACTCACTCTCTCTAAAATAGCACTAAAACCCATTTAAAAACACTTATAAACCCTAAAAAGATTACATTATGAGGAAGGAAGGAAGGAAGGAAGGAAGGAAGGAAGGAAGGAAGGAAGGAACTTGTGGGGTACAAAATGATGGGCAATCACCCAGTCAGACAAAAGTGCTTCGTTCATTTCCTGAAGTGTGTTTTCTGAAGGTAATTGTACTTTTTCTTTTTTTAAAAAAGCGTTAGGCCTGATGTTTTGTCCTCTCCCTTGGTTATCATATGTGCACATGCGTGCAAGTCTTTCACAATGCATGTACATTGAAGAAGAAAGGGAATATTGAAAAGCTGGGAGTTTCAGCTTTGTCTTTTCTGACATTGTTTCTCAATTTACAGGCAAATGGTAAGCCAGCAGTCTCCAGCTGAGGGCCCTCCAGATGTACTGACTTTAGCTGCCATCATGCTTGAGCGATAATTAACCTTGCAGTCCAAGGAGTTTTGCTGCCTCTTTGAAGCTTTACGCACCAATCAGTCATGTGAGCTTCCCACAGCAGGGCTTGTGAGCAGAGCACTCTGCAAACTTGAGAGATGCCAACATCGTGTTCTCTAACCTTAATAAGTCTTTTTTTGGCAGACTTAGCAACATTTTAAATTGGAACAAAATCGTGCCATTTTAATTTCCTATAATTGTCCTGACATGTCAGTCTGTAGTAAAATGGAAGATTAAAGGCCAGCAATTGGTGTTTGTCTCTATGCGAATTTCTCATTTATCATTCAAATGAGCCCTAAATAGTATACAATAGTATACAAGCCCTATGTATATATGTTTGAGTAAGCCTCACTAACCTGCTGATATCAATTTTGGAGATATACTTAGGATTATCGTATCTGAGCTGCAGAAGATCAAAGAGAGGCAGAAAACTCCAATTCTTCATTTCTATCAAATAATCGTCTGGATTTTTTTTTTCCAGCCCAGCTTTATTAGTCCTAACATATCTCACAAATCAAGGCTAATACAAGCCCACCCTGAACAAATTAGTCTGGCCTTCCCATTGTAGTCAAAAGGGAGGCAGATGAGACAAATACTTTGCCATTTGCTCAAACCATTTAGTCACAAGAACAGAATATTTTCGTATCTCTTCCAAAGACTAGCATAAATTGAAGAAGGCCCAGATTTTGCAGCTCCCAGTTTTTTAGGGAGTCTCTGCACAGAATTTGTATTCCTTGAGAACAAGCAGGGTTTTTAAAAAAATCATTTTGCACATGTAAGACAAAGGGAGGGATATTTGTAAGATGCAAGAAAGAATGCACTTCATTCACATCACGGTCTGAACACCAGTGGCAGGACAGTTTCAATCCAAATTGCATTTGGGAGTCTCATTGCCTGTAACTAAGCAACGGCTCACGTGGCTGCCAGTCCTGCCTCTCATGCGGCTGGCTTTGTCGAAGCATTCGTTGGCTCCATTTGTTACCCAAGACAGAAGAGGCACAAGATGTGCCCATGCTTACCTCTTCCCTCTCGGGGTGGTGTGTAACCCGCAGGCAAGAGAGCGTCCTGCCTGTTTCCCAGCACAAAAGCGAGGGTGGCCAGAACCAACGCATCAGCGATGCCCAGCAAAGCGAGAGTAAAGGCCCAGTGGATCGAGCAGGTACCCAGGGTGTAGCTCCTGGCCTGGGGCCCACACAGAGCCCTCACCTCTGGCGCCCCCCAGCCATCTGGGAAGACCAGGCAGCCAAGAGCCTGACAAGTTGCTGCGAGACAGAGAGATGGGCAGACAAAGAAGAAAGAGTGGGGTGAGACAGAATTAACAGAGTCCATACAGACCAGTGGTGGATTGATACCGATTCGCCCCGGTTCGTGTGAACCGGTAGTAGTGGCGACGGGAGGCTCCGCCCACCCGCCCAGAAATCATCAAATACGCTCTGCGCATGCAAACCGGTAGCAAAGGTAAGTGAAATCCACCACTGATACAGACACTTGCTGTGGAATACAAACCCACTGACTTTTTCCAGGCTTGATATCCTCCTCCCAGTTCACACGACATGCATAACCAGGTCAAGAAAAGAAGGAATGCTTTATGCAAAAATGAAAACGCAGTCAGCTCTAGAGCAGGAGAAGGTTGGTTTCCACTCAAGGGTGATCCCCAAGTTTGTTTGGGGTTGAACGGCCTCCCACAATCAGCCATGGAGACGAAACATGACAATGAAGCTTCCACTGGGATTGCTAGCCTCTTCCTGCTTCTGCACTGAACCCGGAAGTGAGAGTTTTCTTCTGCAAAAATGAGTCTCAAACTCTCTCTTTTTTGGAAGCACATTTCCCACCAATAGGCATAAAGGAGAGAGAAGGTGTCCAAATAAGTCTCCCCCCCCCAGTTTGCATCCACGGTGGCTCTAACCTCATTAGCACGCTGCAGATTTCTATTTTAGTTTCTACATTGTTCACCCCTCTCCCAGCCTGGCCTAGCCAAAATCAGGTGAAATTTCACCATGTCTGCTGTCAAGGTAACTGGGGCAGCTTCATATTTGATAGTTCTCTTCTGCTCTTTTGACAAATAAATCAGCAGGCAGTATGATTGCTGACTGGGTGAGTGTAAATGACCGTAATGACCCATTTAATGACAGTTGGAACTGGCAACTCAGTCGTTAAGTGAAACTGTCACTGATTGCAACTGCGACTACCCTAAAGATCTTACTTCAACTGTCCTTTTCTTTACAGATCTGGGAAGGTCATAACGTGCGGATTGGCCACAAAGTTTCTGTACTAATAATAACTGCAAATGGTCGCTAAATGAGGCAGGATTCGATGCCTGCTCTTTTGCATCAGAACCCCAGGGTGGGGAAAAAAGCAGTTTGGTTGAAAGCAGGTATCCTCCAACTTTGCAGTGCCGTGACTCCTAAAAGTGATAAATGAATGACAGTGCCACAAATACAATAACCTACCGGTATTTCATTTGATTTGAGGTTGTGCAAGAAAAAACCATACCATTTACTGTACTTTAATTATCAGATTTTAAACTCTATATGAAAACTGTGGTAGAACTTGGCAACTTAATAATCTAAAATATTTTTATTGCAAGTCAATAATACTCCCCTATCACATTTACAACCATATTTTGAACAAAGTTTGGCATAATTCCTGAAATCTGGATTTTATTTCTGAAAAAGACCTTCCTGCTGTACATTCCACATTTATCTCGGGTTTATGTTTGAAATGAAATAGCAAAGCCCAATTTTGCTTATACAGGCAGTGAGAAAATATGTTTTAACACTGTTCCTTCTTGGTGTGCACAAGCCCCTCAAACTTGCTCTTGACCCCATAAGGAGTTGTTACCAACAGTTTGAAAAACCTGGTTTACAGAGTTGCCAAAGGTGCTACTTGCATGCCGTGTGAGCTCTGAGGTACTTTTTCCAGTCTGAATCTAAATTAATGCATGACCTTATCCACATAGAACTCATATCTTCTCTCCCAAGGTTGTATTTGAAAGGTAACAAAAACGATCATTTACAAGAGCTCTTAGATCACCAGGAATTTTTGTTTCACACAGAAAATTCAAGACAATTGGCTTCAACCTGTGGAAGTTTCTATCCCAGCATTTCCAAATTAAAGGGGTCCATTGAAGATGCTTTCTAAAGGGCCCACAATTCTGAAGCCAGTGGGGAGAGATAAGACGTGGTTGTTTTTCAATTTGATCGTCCCCAACATGTTTTGGCATTTCAGAATAACAAAGTTGGAATGGACTGTGGAAGTCCTCCAGTCCAAGCCCCTGCTCAAGCAAGAAACCCTATACCATTTCAAACAAATGGTTGTTCAATCTCCTTAAAAATCTCCAGTGTTGGAGCACCCACAACTTCTGGACGCTGAGGGTACTGGACAGTGGTGGGTTTCCCCCTGGTTCGGATCGGTTCTATAGAACCGGTAGTAAAACCGGAGGGAAGCTCCGCCCACTGACCCCGACGTCATCAGAACGCTTCTACGCATGCGGCCCCATTGCGAATCGGTAGTAAAGGTGAGTAGAACCCACCCCTGGTACTGGAGGTTTTTACAAAGGGATTGGACAACCATTTGTCTGAAATGATATCAACATCTATGGCACTATCCTCCTACTAATTAATAAATGACACTGTCCATCAAGAACTTATCCTACCGTACCCTAATTGAAAGGAATGAGACCTGCAGAAGAGAACTTCTGTCAGGTTTCGAGGTCGTCTCAAATAAATGTCAGCACTTCAAGTTGCATTTACTCTAATGCTGACAACTACATTCACTCAGGACTCCTGGGCTCATAATTCAACTGCCAAGTTAGTATCGGGGTGAAATCCAGCAGGTTCTGACAGGTTCTGGAGAACTGGTAGCGGAAATTTTGAGTAGTTCAGAGAACCAGCAAATACCACCTCTGGCTGGCCCCAGAGTGGGGTGGGAATGGAGATTTTGCAATATCCTTCCCCCAGGAGTGGGGAGGGAATGGGGATTTTGCAGTATCCTTCCCTTGCCATGCCTATTAAGCCACACCCACCAAGGCACGCCCACAGAACTGGTAGTAAAAAAATTTGGATTTCACCACTGGTTAGCATTCATTTCTAAACCAAGCCAGCAGCCTTTATTGCCACAAAGAATGATTGAAAAGAGATGGGCAGCGACTGCCAAAACACAACAACCCGTCCCCAGCCCTGCATGTTTTCTACATCCTTCTATAATTTATACTATTACACAAATAAATCGGGGCACACCCCACAAAAAAGTGAATACAACACAAAACAAATAAAATGTACATTCGCACAACTCGGACCAGTTTCAGAGTTTAGCTTGTTTAGACTGGTGTCTGGGTTACCTGGACGCAGAACTAACTTTTGCTTCACACAGTGCCTTACTCATGGATTGTATTCCACTTTCTCTGACTTGGTAACTCCAAAGCCTGGTCATTGGAATTACCTTCATTCTCAAAGCTGCTATTGCTGATCAGACCAGAAGAAGAGTTTTGCCACTTAAGATTCTCTAAGGTGAAAGGCCAGGTGTGCAGTGTAGCTTGATGGAGATAGGATCCCTGATAGTGAAGGACCTGCAGGCTCACTCAGGTGTAAAAAAAAAAAACCAAACAATTTTCTCTCATTGCAGCAAGTGAAGAACAATCAGCATACTCAGGGACACTGGTGGAAGGGAAACATAACCTTTGCATCTGAACATTCCTGTTTATTCTGAATGAAGCCTGCATGGTCTTGTCTGAATTTGACTGTTTCTATCCTCAACAAGAAGAGACCAAACTTTGTGTTTTACAAATTCAGTTACTAAGTTTACAGCGTGGCTTGTGTGAGACTTGAGCTTCGGCAGCATCTCCTTTTGGAGGCTCTTTCTCTATCCCACACTCCCCTCCCTCCCTCCTTCCAAGTTTCTTCCTTGTCTTTTCCAAAATGACAGCCCAACCTGGATTCTCTTACCTGCTGAAAGCTGCTGCCAGGCGCACACCTTGTAGACGGTCCCTGCACTGCAGACCCAGAAAAGACCCAGGGAGGCCACACTGCCCATCACCAACACCAGGGCCATCAGGACGAAGACAGCAGCTGCTTTGAAAGATGGGATGGGGGTTAGGGTGACCAGCGATCCCTCACACTCAAGGACCCCGTCCTGCTCCGTGCAGACTTGGTAGAGGCCGAAGGAGCCCACGGCGCTCACGCTGGGGTCGGAGAGGGCCCCGGAGATTGGCAGCTGGTAGGTGAGAGGTGCTGTCTGCACCCATGCTGGCTGGATAAGCACCACCACCTCCAAGATGCCAAAGCACAGGCTACAGCCAGCCCAGAGAGCGCCCACTGCCCTGGCATTGCGCACAAAATCGGTCTGGTAGAGGGCTGCTGCTTCTCGGGCTGCCAACATGGTCCACACGTCTCCTTTGAGGGACCTGCTGCAAGTGTTCTTCTGCAAGAAGTGTTTTTCTTTTCCTTTCTCCAGGGAGCCAAATCCTACAAGAGCATTCACGCCTGAAGCCAGTTGATGCACCCCTTTCTCTGGCCACTCTCCTTTCCTTTGCTCAGCTCCTCCTCCTTCGGGGAAAAAAACCTCTGCATACCTCAGCTCCAGCAGCTCCACTTCTCCACCGAGTTGCTCAGGTTCTCCACCCCTGGAATCTGGCAGCAGAGTTGTGTCCTGTCCCCCTCACCGTCCCCCGTTCCTCGTAGGGATCTCCTGGGGTGACGATTGCTAAGCTCTTTTCCTCTGCAGTCTCGGCACTCCTCGGCTGATGATGATGGAGGAAGGGGGGAGCAGTGCTACGTTGCCTCCTTCTCCAAGATTGGCTTCCTTCTTTTTCTGGGTGCTGTGAGAGGGAGGGGGGCAGGGAATTGGTTTCTTTTCCTTGCCAAGCTCATCACACTCTACACTGCTTCTTACTTCTCCTGCCAGGGAGACAGAAGCAACCACTTGGCCAAATGCCCACTGGCCTTTCCCCTTCCTCTCTCTCTATCTTTCTGAGCAACAGCCACTAGGAAGGAGTCTGACTGGATTCAGAACATCTGATGCCCAATTCATCTTCCACACAAGCGGATGGATGCCGAGGCTCACCAGTTCTCCACTACTAAATTGTGCCGTGGCTTGATAGAACTGGAAAAGGAGACGAAGGAAAGATGAAGGGGACTTGGGGGGGGGGGGGGGGGGGGGGGTAGAAACAAGGCTCCCTTTCTCCTATTCGCCCCAGGCATGAGTTATAGGGATGCAAATGCCAGGGAAGGGATTAGAGCTTCCAGTAGGAGGCAGCAAGCACCTTTAAATAAAATAGGCAAGTGATTGGTGCAGGCCATTGCTATCCAGAACTGCTATATATATATAGCATAGATGAGCAGCCAGTCTTCCAGGTATAGTTCTCACTGCAGTGGGTATATATATATCTCTTACCCACTGCAGTGAGAACTATACCTGGAAGACAGGCTGCTCATCTACCTTGCAATTTTCTTCTGCCAGAAATTCAGGAGTAATGAGATGAGCAGCATCTTTCTGTTTCTTTCATTTGCAACGTAGAGAGGATATGATAATTCTTAAATACTTTAGAGGATTTTTGAATGCATTTTTGAGAAATGCTTGGAATGCTTAAAGCTCCCTGTACAATGAATTTGAAATCTACTCCCTCTAGTGAGTGTCAATGGAACAGGAGCATAAACAAGGCGCCCAAGAAACATACACGCTCAAGGAAAACTCAAGGTTTGCTGAATTAAAGAAGACTATCACTGTTATGGGAGCAAAGCTTTCCCTCCAAACAGACCAATAAGGACTAGGGCCACTCGTAGCCGCAGTCTGCCAAGTGCCATCTTGCTCAGCCCACCAGCATCCAAGATACCCTTACCAGACTGTGTTTTCTCAAGAAAAGAGGAACTCTACGAGCTATGGCAACCAAGAAGAGCGAAGAGAGGAACACCGGGATCAGGAGGCAAGTAAATATTGAGAAGGATAAAAGGAAAGTAAATGCTTTTGTTAACATTAGTTGGATGGGATCAGACCAAAAGGGGAGATTCAGGAATGGAAATGTCTGCAGACACCTGGGAAGAAAATGGGTAGAGATTGGGGAGGGATGAGGAATTTAAAAAACAAGCAACAGAAAAAGCTATCTATGAAGAAAAAAATGTTCAGAGAAGTGATTGTACAGTATATAAAAGTGAGCAGCCTGTGCGGCCTTCAGAGAAAAATGGCACCCCTAAATTACATGGAATCCACTTACTTTTTCCACTGGCCAGTTATCTTTATCTCTGTCCCCACCCCAATTATCCTAGCAATCTATTGGTTGTCTGCTGCCATTAGCAGAAAGTAGACCCTCAACAGACCATACATCAGCTGGCAGGAAAACAGATGACGGATAATGCTGGTCAGTTTTTGCATATCAGAAAATGCTGGGGCAGGCTGCCAAACAAATCATGACTATCAACGTTTGTAATGTTTTGTCTCGCATCATAAATGAATAGATTAAACAGATCCAACGAATAGCCCAGCATTATAGGCCACAAAGGAAGGGAACAAGGGAAAGGGATTGATGCTTCCCAAATATTCGATGGATGTCATGTGGCTGCTGTTGTTTTTGTTAGCATTTGTCTCACAAAGTTGCAGAGCCTCCTAGCTTTTGTACCCTGCTCTCCTACTTCTTAACAGCATAGCTATCAATACCTGATATGACAAAGGAGTTTTGTTTCTCAGCCAACTTGCTGCAGTCTGATATGGATCAGAGTGGAGAGGGGGTAACTAGCTCAAAATCAGCCAAGTGGCTTCTGTGACTAAGGCAAGATTAGAACCCGGGTTTCCTCCCTCTTAATTCAGTACTGTGGCCAATATACCAGCCAGGTCTCTCCTTATTGGGCCTACAGTCTCATACTGTACTTTTTGAAATGCGTACCTGTTATAAGAAATTGTGCGGAAGTAGGTACTGGCAGAAAGTGAAGGACAGTATAAACTTAGCTGCAAGCTGGGCCAAATCCTGGGATGAGGACAGATCAGTCCCACCCTAAAAAGTTTAACACCGCACCTCTCTCTCCTCCAAGATCCCTCTAAATACAGAGCCATCCCTAAATACACACACATATACAATTGCAGAGACGCCCTTTATTTGAATTAGAAAGAGTACAAATCAAGCAGAGGAACATACATTTTTTTTTCAGTGAAAGCTTACAATCCAACTAAATGTTCTCCAAGTTTCAATATCAACCCCATAATACCCATATCCCCTCCCCTAAACCACCAGGGCCGGCCCTGGAAAACGATGCACCCTCATGTGGAAGTTGGTGCTTTTTCAAACACAGTGACACCCCCCCTCATCTTTTTTCTTGCCACCCTCCCTCATTAACTCTTTTCAACAAATACCCTCTTCCTCCATCAGTTTTCAGGACAGGAAGCAAATTGATCCTCTCCACATAGATGCTTTGGACATGCCCTTCAACCCAAGTAACATAATTAACATATCAATTAAGGACAATGGAAGCTGTAAACCAAAACACCTGAACAGCACCACACTGGCTGCTCTTATTTAAAGGCTGGGTGTGTTTACCAGTTCCCAAATAATCCCCCCCCCCCATCACTATTTATCTTGACGGAAGAGAAGCTTGAAGGCTTTCCTCTTGTACATCCCACCCTCACAGCCCCACCACCTGGAAAGTGGCCAGGGAATCCAACCCAATCTTTCGCCAGTCATTTGCCAATGACCCCTAAGGAAGGCCACCCTGCTGCTTGCTTAATAAGCCAACTACACCAAGTTATTTCCATTAAAGCTATCAAAGCCCAATTCTCACATTCTCTTTTGCCACAGGCCATTCTTAGCTGCAGAAAACAACCTGCACATAAATGCAAAGGCTGCCATAGTGGTTGAAATAATGCCATTCTAGAAGTGTCATGACTCATCATAACCAGTGGTTTGGCCGTCGTGCCTCAGGTTAACCTGCTTCGTGTGGAAAGTGAGGTTTCCCTTTTTCTCTTTTACCCATACATGCATATACATTGTGTGAACCTGGTCTTAAAATTACAACACAGGTCCTTAACAAAGACAGATTAACATCTGGGCTGGTCACTCATCACATCCTACTCTAATCTCAAAGGAAAACTCTCTCATTCACTCCAATGTCTTGCAGATTATTTGAAAATCGACACAGGCTTTTCCCAACTGAGCAAGAAATCACTGCAACACAGAGGAGAGAGATGAGTTAGAGGAATATACAGTAATATGGAGAGGAAATGCAGTCTTGGGCAATCAGACCAGTGGTGGGTTGCCCCCGATATGGTAGTAAAACCGGCGGGAGGCTCCACCCACCGACCTGGACATCATCATAGGTGATCTGCGCATGCGCAGAAGCACGCGCACGCTCCCAATGTGAACCGGTAGTAAAGGTAAGTAGAACCCACCCCTGAATCAGACACTGGAAAAGTGAGTCCCTTGCAACTTTAGTAAAAAAGAATTGGCACGGTATCTCTTCAGCATTGAAGAAAGCAAAGTACTTCTGATTAGAAGCAAAGATATCCTTAGTGCGCCAACATTTGATTATTCCTCTTCGTGGATTGGACCAGAAGAGGATGTGGTCTTTTTTTGTCCTAGTGGAAGCAGTGAGGGTGCTGATGGATGATTTATGGCTGCTGGTGGTATTGCAATTGATGGTTGCTGGCTATTTTTGGCACAAAGAGCCCTTTTAAGAAGCCTCGGATTCACTTCAGTGAGGTCAAACGATGGTTGATTGTGCTGCGTTCAATCTTAGGACTTCCCTCCGGACAAAGTCACTTTAGGAAGGCAGGTGCATGTCCATGCCAAACTTCAGCCTGTGAGCCTGGCACTTGGCTTCAAGAAGGACCTGAAGAAAAAGAAATTCACACTGAACATCAGTACTTGGATTTGGCCACCCACCCTGTGTTTTTTCCTTTTTAGTGAGACTAATGTAACTGCCTTACAGTTGGTAAAACCGAGAGACAGAACTGTATATTGGTGAGAGTTCTGAATTTAGACAAGAAGGGCTATTATATTTTAATTCTTTTTTTATTAATCCTATGTCCCTAGAGAGTTACTATGTCATATGTCCCTAGAGAGTTACTAAACCTGAATTCAAAACCCATTCTAGCCTCACCTCCCTACCCCAACCTTGCTCCCCATATACATTAACCTGGGGACAACTGAAAGCAGCTTCCTTTATTCTCCTCCCCAGAAGGAATTGAGAAATATTGTTTTCCGTTTTTTCCTTTTCCCCTCAACACAATGTACGGAAGCAACTTTTCCCTTGAATTACAGAACCCAGGCAGAAGAGATTTATTATTTTCTTCCGCAGCAGCCATTTTTTCAAATTCTGATTCTTGCACTGTGATAAATAAAATCCTATGCTGTGCCCCATATTGTGTGGCCCTCAGCACTTTGGATTTGTTGGCATGAAGAAGTTTTACTCAGCTGTTCAGTTTGTCCACAATTCTTTCATCAACATCATATCTGTAATTTACCCCAAGTAACAAATGACACAATTGCCAGTAAAAGGAAATCCATTCCACACCAGCCATTTGCTTCATGCTTTCTTACAAGAAGATAAGCTGCTTTGTCACTTGTATAAAAGTAATGGGGGGGGGATGCCTTTCTCCTAACAGAGTAAGGTCTCCTATAGACATTAGTGGATATTTATTTGTTTATTCATTAACTCTATATCCAGCCTTTCATTCAAGGCAATACACATAATTATTTTCCTCCTCTTATATGACCGTGAAATAGACTCTCTCTCTCTCTCTCTCTCTCTCTCTCTCTCTCTCTCTCTCACACACACACACACACACACACACACACACACACACACACAATGGTTAAACTTCTGTGACTGAGAGTGAACTATTTTCCCTACTTGTGGTTTAACTTCAATGTCCTTAAAATGATTATCAATCTAAAAAACAATCTAAAGGTTTCCCTAATCAAGTGTTTTGCTGATGTGCTGGCTGGGGATGATAGGGTTTATAGTCCAACATGTCCCAAAACACAAAACTGGAAGGGAACTGAAAAAACTATGTGATATATGGTTGGGCTATTTTGCAAACTTAGTGAAGTCTGATGAACACTGTCTGACAAGTTGGGGGCTGGAGAGTTGCCTGCCAAGCATCCATGATACATTGACTAAAACACTGTCTCTCAAAACACTTTCCTGGTCCTGGTGTTATAATCCAAACTCTTCTGGAGCACACCTGAGTTGAAAAGGTTCCCCTAAATCACGCTCCATAATTACTTCCTGTGCTTCCCACCACCCACATGCAATAAAATACGATAAACTCCTGTATATCTGCCAGTCTTGAGATGGCCAAAGGAAGAAGAAAATGTTGCATTTCTCTGATCTGATCTCAGATGTGCAGTTCAATATTCAATTTGGGGAGGAGGAGAAAGAGGAGGAGGAGGAGATGAAGAAGGAGGAGTTACAACTCACTGGATGATGGATATAGGCTTGGCAGTCATAGCACCAGGCAGAGAGATCTGCAAAGCTAAGCACCAGCGGATGCCCAGATTCCTTATTGTGATCCAGCATATGTTGATTAATGTAGCGTCCACAACAGACCTGAAACAAATAGAATATTTCAGGAGGGCAGGGCTGAAACATTAAACATGATCTCCGCCCAGAAACATTTTATTGGGGAGATGGGCAGCACATAAATTTAATCAATCAATCAATCAAATGATCTCAACTCATCAATTTCCTTAAAGGCATACCCCCACCACCACCACCACCAAAGCAAATGGAGCATATTACAGAGAAGAAAGTAACGGTGGAGAACCAACTCTGTTGTTGAGTTATTTCATTCAAGCAGTCAAACTGGAAGATGATAGAAGCAGGTCAATGAAACGCCTAAAATAGCTCCTGGCCAAGAATACATGGAGGAACGTCTCCTTGCCTGCCACAGAGACAATGAGCCCCTGAGCCAGAGCTCAAAACTAGCAACTCCAGAAGGAAATATTATTGGAGTACAAAGAGCCACCTTATAACATGAGCAATCAGTGCACGGTCAGCTCTCTTTTATTTTTTTTTACTCCACAGAGCTCTCAAAGTTGGTGTGAGTTTCTGCCAATTTGGATGGGAAACTTTAAGAAACAGATATCATGCGCCCTTAGAGACTTAACAACATGTAAGTTGTTTGTTAAAACATATTGTTGTAACAAACATGTTTTAGGCAGGTAGTTCGGAGAACCGATAGCGATGGCAGCACGAGGCTCCGCCCACCCACCCAGTTATCATTACTTCCTGGTTTTAATCAGGAAGTAACCTGTTTTTTACCCTCTGCACATGTGCAGAAGGGTTTGCGCATGTGCAGAGGGTCCAAGCGTGCATGTGACACAGCATGTGTACTTCTGAACCGGTAGAGAAGATAAGTAGATTTCACCCCTGCTCTAACCCCAAAGCTGCACTTTCAGGACTGGTATCCTTACCTTATAGCACACCAGGCAAACCCAGTTCTCCATCTCGCTGCCACATTCTGCACAAGGCTCCCACACATTCAAGCCCACAGGAGGCACAGGCAGCACTGAGCTGAGGTGGGGGCACCAGGGTAACGGAGTCGTGACATAAAAGAGCCCCTGGAAAGAGACAGCAGAAGAATCCCTTTATCCTGACATCTAGCCTCAAGGTTGTCCCTTCTGAGCCTTGACTTTTTCTCTTCAAGTTAGACTCCCTGCTTCCCCTGTTCTGAAACTTTTGCTAAACTCAGAAATTCCCTGTTGTGCATCTTCAGCTCCCTGGGCTGTTAAATAATCCCCAGGCACTTCTACCACCCTCCTTTCTTGCCTCAGTGTTTTTAATTCAGAAACTGATTGGATTTGAGAGAGTTTGCAAGTACTGTTCAAGGACCACTTCTTCTATTACCTCTGTCCTGGTTCTGAAGTCAGCTTTAATTCTAGAACTAGCAACACAGATTCTCTGTTCTAAAACTCCTTGCGCATCACAGGAGCATTCCTGAAATCTTTTCTGGTGTACATATGGAGTAATATCACATCCATGTAAAATCACTTTCACTCTATAGAGACCCCTCCGTCTCTAGTTGAAAGTCTCAAGGCTTTTCCAGTGAGACTCCAAGCCAAAGGTGCCGTTCACTCTTCCTTAGGCCACTGACATGCTACTGCAGCTCTCTCAGACACAACTTTCTCTAGACTCAAGAAATCTAATCCTGATCTCTTCCCCAATAATCTTTTCCCTTCCCAATACTCACACTGCCAGCCACATCATCCCCAAACTGCTCATCAAAGGAAGAACAACCCCCTGCTGCTTCATCCAACAGGACAACCTCAACATTCATTGGGTGGTGATGCTGAAAGTAAGAGGGAAAAAAGAGACAGGTGGTTGAGATGATATGAGGTAAAATTTTTCAGAAGCCCTTAAAATGTAGTTATTTAATAGCAGAGTTGCAGCTTCCCTATCTATTGTTCTGTTTGTGGCATGTAAAAGGGCAATGAGAATGTCAACCCTGAAGCTGGCCTGATTGAAGCCATCTTGCAGCTTCAGTGCCCCACACTGGAGCTGAGGGATAGGGAGGAGGGATTAGAGATAGCTGGGGTCGTGTAGTCAAAATAAAATACTTTCTCTTGGGAACCAAGGACGTTCTCATATCTGGCCGGAGGAAGGGGGAGTGATGTCATCAGACCACCGGACAGTGACTTGATTAGACCATGTGACTGATTGTTTGGGGTTGAGGGAAAAACGTTTACTTTTAATTAGGTGAAAAACCGCAGGACCCTTCAGAGTCGGTTTTCCCCAGATCTGTGCCAATATGATATTTCCAATAAAGCAATTCTTTAAGGAATCTACTTGCATTAGAGTTTTGCTTGATATGGAACTATTACTTGGAACCCTGACAGGGAAGCAGGGAAAAGGGGCTTAGTTATCTCTTCCCCAATAGTTTAAATATTTCAATTGGGTTGAGCAGTTTTTAACCATCAGAATTCTGAAATGAGCTGCCTTTGTTTAAAGACTTATCATCTAAATCAACTTTACTTCCTTTAAATGTGGACTTCCATTCTCCCAAACAGGATCACCACAAAATGCTGGCTGTTAGGTGGTAAAGGGAATTGTAGTCTAACACAGCGATCTCCAATCTTTCTGGCTCCATGGATTGGCAGCAGAGGTGGTGGCTGGAGGGGGGGGGTAGGGGTAGGTGGGAAAGGATGGTTTTGCGCATGCAACCTAGCTCCTGTGCATGTGCAAATGAAACTTCACATGCTCGCCCGCCGCTTGCGGACCGGAGGTTGGTGATCCTGGCCTAATATATGCATGAGATTCTCAAGCGAATGCTACTTAAAATCAGATGTTATTTCTTTTAAAATAAGAGAATCACTGACATGGAAGTTAGACAAATTGGAGGAAATGTAAACAAGAGCTTCCTATGCAGGGAAGGGGAGGAGGAGGAATAAATCAGAGATGCAGAGTAGTTTGGTGCATTCGTCTGAGTCCGTTCTGAGCTCTTCAGACAAGGAGGAGGGTGAGCATTCCCAGTGCTAACTCTCTTTCTCTTCAACATGAAGCAACACAAGAAGATTGGCTCATTCCTAAACCAATTCTCAGCACCATCAGTGGAGAGGCCAAGAAGCCTGAACTGGAACACACCTGGACTCAATGCAGTCTTTCACACAATAGCAATAGCACTTAAGACTTATGTACCGCTTCACAGTGCTTTACAGCCCTCTCTAAGCAGTTTACAGAATCAGCACATTGCCCCCCAATAATTTTGTGACCTCGGAAGGATGGAAGGCTGAGTCAACCATGAGCCGGTGGGGATTGAACTCCTGGCAGTCGGCAGAATTAGCCTGCAAGACTGCATTCTAACCATTGCGTCACCATGACCCAAGCTCCCAATTGCTTTGCAACAGCCGTAGCTTCATGTGAAATACTAGCAGATGTGAAAAGTATTCCCTAAAAGAAAAAAACAGCTTGGAAAACCCATGATGTGTAATGAAAAAAAGCTGCGGTACTCACTTTTTTGTCAGGAGCCATCACTTCACCAGAGAAGCCCTCTGCCGATACCCCTTCCCTTGGTGCATCCTCTGCTGCATCCTTGGTGCATCCTTCCTTAGGGGATCCACCGACTTTTGGCTGAGCTTCCTCACCCACTGGACTAGAATCAGGAGAGAGAGAACTCGAAGCCGTTTCGGCCTCTTCCATGAGATTGTCTTCTAGCTGGAGGGAGCCCAAGCCCACCACAGCATCATCTATCGCTTCCGCTACAGGTTGAGCTACAGGGTTTTGGAGCAATTCCTGAGGGGCTTGTTCAGGAATCTCATTTGGAATGGGAGTTTCCTTCCCAGCCCGGGTCCTAGGCTTCTCCCACAGAGTGGCAGGCACTGGGGAGGAAAAACAAAAGTCGCCTTTCAGATGCTTAGTTAAAATGATGGGAATGGAAAAGGTGGGAACGTGAATTCACGGTGTTACTAAATGGGCAGGCACTCAATACAACTCCAACCTCCCTTTATTTGCGCACTTATTCCCCTGCGTATTCCCCAATTTCATCCTATTCCCCTTGTCCAAATTCTTACATCAGGCCTCTCCCACTCCCTCCCTAGCTTTCTTTGCCCTGTTCTGCTGCAGCCCATCCCTGTGTCAGTGCTTTTGTAGGAAAGGGCCTTTTGCGACATCAGCAGGAATTCAACCAATCTCTTATCACTTTTTTCCTACACTGTGTAGTTGCTAGGCACCCTCAAACATCAAGTTGAAAAGCCTTGATGCTGCTACTAATGGCTGTGAAGATCAAATGTATTTTAATGCAGGGGTCCCCAACCCTGAGCCACTCCTCAGCGTTAGCATCACCACCTTAGCTCCATCTCAGATCAGACATGGATTCTCACAGAAGCATGAACCCTACGGTAAATTGCGCATGCGAGGGATCTCGGTTGTGCGCTCCTCCCCTCTCCTCCCCTGGTCCGTGGAAAAATTTTCTACCACAAAACATATCCCCAGATCAAAAAAAGTTGGGGACTGCTATTTTAATGGATTCCCCCACTTTTGTCACTTCTTGGGAGTTTAGGCTCCTTGCATGCTTCTCCAAGGGCAGATGTGTTCAGTCCTACTGGATTGAGCTGAAAGCAACTATATAAATAATGTAGTCTAACTCTGTACTCACGATAGCAAACACCTGACCATCCAGCCTCCCTATGAAAATTAACTTTTGTGGCCTCTTGTCCTCAGAGGATTCATTCTTTTTGCCTTCTCTCTGAACACTATTTATGTGATCTTCACCTTGATGCGCCTTAAAAGGAGGAAGGCTGGCTTCCAGTCCTTTTACCTTCCTCTCCAGCAAAGAGACAAGCCCGTAATTGTAAAAAGCAAGCTCTTCTGATAAGAAGACAAATGCCCTGCAAAGTCATACAACTGCACCTTCTTCCTTTTGGCAGAATCTGAGTTTCTTCTTTTCCCTGCTAAATTGCCTCCAAAACTTCCCTCTTCTGATTTGCTGTGTCCCCCTGTCTAAAGGGCATCATTTGAGAATAAGCTCCTAGCTACGAAATTATTCCACCCACTAGCTGGTCGCCTGATCAGGAAGTCTGCTATAGCTGTAAGCTTCCATACCTCTTATTTAGACTGTGTGGAAAATGAGGACGCACACAACCTCTCAGCCAGAAAACTACACAAAACCCACCCAATCAGCCTGCTCTGCAATTCACAGGCTCCCTTGCAAAACTCAATTGCTCTTGTTGCCTACCTGTGGCTCATTCCGCACAAGACTGTGGCACATTCCCATTTTAGAAGTGCCCCAAATGCATGATTCAATAGTAGTAGCCTCTTATGGAATAGAAGTGGGGGCAAACTAAGAAATACTGACACTACAACTTCACAGCAAGAGGTAAATTGCAGATTTTGTTTTGGTGTACAGCCACTAGGCTGTAGCAGTTATTATGAAGTACATCAGCCCAGACAGAACAGAGGTACTTTAGATAAAAAGAGAATTATTCACCTTCCAGTCGGAGGCTTGCCCAATATTTGCGGTGCACAGTAGCAACACGGGCCAAGGACTGCAGGGCACTCAGATGGGGGGGCTTTAACCGTCCGAGTGGGGGTGGAGGATCCCCCAGAAGGCTGCGCGTGCACATGGTCATGGACTCTGAGATAGATTCTAGGTTGTAGCCACCCTGAAGGGAAAAAAAAAATACAATTACTCTGATGTCAAAGTAATTGGTACCAGCCTACATGCGGGTTGGCGTGCAAGAGCAGAGCTGCTACTGTAAAAATTCTTCATTGCAATCTCAAACAGAAACAGCAAGCTTCTAGTCTTCAAGTCTATGCTTCCAGACAGCAAAAGCAACTCAGCCTCTCCAGGGAACATAAGCTACCAATCACACTTGGGGGCTTCAATTTAACACCAAGTCTTGTCTATTGGTGAAGGATGGAAGATTTTGGAATGAGGAAAAGAAGGAAGAACGGTAATTAACATAGGGCTTGAGCACTCACAATTCACAGACAGGTAATCCTGGCTTAACCTCCACTTCTTCAGCAATTGTTCATGTTACAAGAGCACTGAGTGAAGGGGACTTACAACAGATCCTCATAACTGCATGAAGTTTGCCTAACGATGGCAACTGGGATCGCCAGAACTACCATCGTAAGCTGGTGCAGTCACGTGATGTCGCGCCTTCTGACTGCATCACTTAGCCATGGAGGTTCCTTGTCCCAATTACTGTTGGTAAATGAGGACTGCCGATACTATACATATTACTGTCAGTTGGATGACCTCTGTAGACACATTGGCAACTCTGAGAACATGTTGTGGGCCTTCTCATAAAAAGAGTTTCACCAGAGTTAGCAACTGTGCTGTCCGTTATGGCCAGACTCTACGCTCCAATTTAACAGATGACAAGCTTGTGGGGATGCTGCTTCCTGGTAGCTTCTGCAGCTTTCCAGGATATTCTCTCCCTCTTTAGTTAATCTTTGTTGTCTCAGCAGGTCCCCTCCTTCCAAATAAAGCACAGTGTGATAAGTCATTGTGCTTTTTCCTTGATCAGAAACCTTCTGGAGCCCACATGGAGCCCAAAGGCGTTCTTGCAAACAATGCTGACATGAGAACCTGGTGCTTTATAGCTTGCTGGCTTCTGCTTCATTTAAAATGATAGCAAATAAAAAAGTTAATGTCACTCTGTGTACCTACCCATACTCAAAACTATCTCCCGGAGCTAATAAACAGATAATAGATAATAGATAATAAAGATAATAAAGACAGACTTCTGACCTACCTCAAGGACAACAGCAACTTTCCCTCCTGCCAAACCCAAGAGGAGGTGGGTCATATGGGCGTAGCATTCTGGGGTCACGAGACACCCCCCCAATGGGTCACCTCGAGCAGCATCAAAACCAGCCGACACCAGGACTAGCTC